TACGTGTTAAATGTTTGTTTCCCCCCCCCCTTTCGAGTTGTAAGCCGCCCTGAGTCCCCCCAGGGAAAAGGGCGGCATCTAAATAAACTTCTAAGTCTAAGTCTAAGTCATCCTACAGGGAGTCAGGAAACGCGATTTCCTCACTTCAGTAAACTTAACCAAATCTTACCTTCACATTTCCATCTTCGTAGACCACCAAAGATTTCTCCGTTTCTCTTTTGGGGGGAGCCACTTCCAGTACCGAGATCTTCCATTCGGCCTCTCCTCCGCCACCAGGGTATTCACAAAGGTGCTGGTGGCACTAGCCGTCAACATCAGGTCATCTCCAATCAGGATTCTCTGCTACCTGGACGACATTCTCCTGTTGTCCAGGTCACCTCTGCAAGCAGAAAGGGATCTAGCCCTAACCCATCCAAGCCCTACGGGATCATGGGTTTGGGGTGAATCTCAAGAAGAGCCACCTCGTACCCGGGACTCGCATTCTTCACCTTGGAGTCATCATAGACACCGTGGCGGAGAAGGTGTTTCTTTCCAACGACCGCATTCTCAGCCTAAAAGAGATAGTCAGGAGGGTCCTGCGCCTACGCAAAGTGTCTCTACTTTTGCTTTCCCAACTATTAGGCAAAATGGTATCTTGCTTTGGGGTAGTTCTGTGGGCCAGGTTTCACAGCAGGACTCTCCCAGTGGTTCATGCTCCCGCATCAGAAGACCAACAGGAGCTGTTCCTCCCACAGGGTTATCATTCCCAGGCAGATCTCCCAGTCCCTCAAGTGGTGGCAGTCCCCGGCAATCTTGCAAGGGATGTTGTTCAGGGAACCGAGCCGTCTCACTCTTACAACGGATGCTAGCCTGACAGGGTGGGGAGCGCACATACAGGACCTGGTGGCGCAGGGTCAGTGGTCACTAGAAGAAAGCCAAAACAGCATAAATTGGCTAGAACTACGGGCAGTTCGTCTCGCCCTCATTCGCTTCCAACGCATGGTCCAGGACAATCATATCCTCGTCCTGACCAAGAACACCACTACCAAGGCGCATATAAACAGGCAGGGGGGAACCCGGTCCTGGCCACTGATGCAGGAAGCCAACCTATTGTGCCGATGGGCGGAATCTCACCTACCATCTCTCAGGGCAGAACACATCTCAGGGGTCTCCAATGTCCAGGCAGACTGGCTGAGCTGGACCAGAATAGATCAGGCAGAGTGGAGTGTTCATCCGGACCTCTTCCATCGACTGATGCTTCGGTTCGGGCTGCCTAGACCTGTTTGTGACAGCGGACAACAACCAGGTCCCCAGGTACTACTCAAGGTTTGTGAACCCCATGGCAGAAGGGGTAGACACGCTCAGGTGCCAGTGGCCCAAGGGTCTCCCATATGCATTTCCGCCCCTCCCTCTCATCCAGAGGGTAGTGTCAGGCCTGCATTTATATTCCTTTTAGAATTTTGGCCTGCCACACTTTCTCTNTTTTTTATAGGTTACCAAAATAATGCATTCAGTATATCTGATGCATTAAAAAGCAATAAATCAAACAATAGGGTAAAGGTTCCCCTTGCACATATGTGGTAGTCGTTATCGACTCTAGGGGGTGGTGCTCATCTCCGTTTCAAAGCCGAATAGCCAGTGCTGTCCAAAGACGTCTCTGGTCATGTGGCCAGCATAACTAAACGCCGAAGGCGCATAGAACACTGTTACCTTCCAACCAAATGTGGTCCCTATTTTTCTACTTGCATTTTTACATGCTTTTGAACTGCTAGGTTGGCAGAAGCTGGGACAAGTAACAGGAGCTCACTCCGTTATGGCGCTAGGGATTTGAACTGCCAACCTTTCTAATCGAGAGGCTCAGCGTCTTAGCCACTGAGCCACCGCGTCCCTATTAAATCAAACAACAGAAGACATCAATTAGACATGAGAAATAGTAGAAAGTACCTGTTATAGCAAATAGTAAAAAACCCAATATTTTGGTTTGGTTAAATAGTAAACATGGTTTCTGGAATGTCAAAAGAAGGCATGAATACCATGTTTAAATGCTAATATCACTATTAAAAATCTAATGAAACCTGAAATTCCAGGTAACAGCTACAACAAAGTTAAATGTGATGTTACAGGGCAGGCTCTGCTTTTTCACATTTGTGTTGTGCATAAGGGGTAGTATTTGAAGTGTAACAATATAATTGTCACATTCTGCATATTTGATGCCAAGGTGGCATAGAGATATTCTATGATCGTGGAGACAGCAGCCAGACTGAGTTGCTCTGTCCAGTAACCAGTTGGACTGAGTCTACACTTGTGATGTCATCAAGCCCTGGTGACTCCTCCCAGTTTAGACTCAGTCCAACCTGGACTAGGTGTGAGAATTGATCTCCAAATTTGAGCCTTTTACCACTAATTGGCAATTTTTCCATTTTTTTTTCTCATTAAATTGTTTTTTTCCACTAATTTTTTTCTCCTGCTCCTTTGAGCAGGAGATTCAAATCTGCTTCAAGGTTTCTTCTTCTCAGCCGTCTGACTGACTGCAGCCACGAGTTCACTCTGGGAAGCCTGCGATCTCAGTCGGATCACCCAGCTCACGAGCTACGGCTCCGAGGCTTTTTACAGAGGTGCTCCGAGTTCCTGGGCATCTGGAAAGCCGCGTGCTCACCCCTTTCGCCCGCAGTGGCATCGGACCCGGTCACTGGCCATTCTACGAGGCGACCGGTCACAAAATGCAACGGTGGCCATCTTGCAGCTTCTAAAAGCCCGCAAAGACAGCGGTGGCCATTTTGAGGCTTGGAAAAGCCTCGGCGATGACGGTGGCCATTTTGCAGCTTGGAAAAAGCATGCGAAGAACAGCTGCCATTTCAAGTGCCCAGCAACTGAAGGTGATCGCGGAGGGGACTGCTGAGCTAAGGAGCGCCTGGCTGCAAGACTGGTGAGACCGATGCCAATTTATCTTCCAGTTGGGGCTTGCATCTGGTAGTATGGCTGAGCAAACTATGGTGGTGGATAAAGGCCTAGAAGAGGCAGGGCCATCGAGAGTAAGAAGCAGCAGAAAGAGGGCAGCCAAGGAGGCTCCTGACTCAGGAGTAAACCCCAAAACCTCCAAATCCTCTACCAGAGCTGAGGAGCGGAGGCAAAAGGCCCTAGAGAAAGAATTTCAGCGGGCCCCAAAACAGGCGAGCCAAACTATTCAGGCTTCTCCCCGTCCCCCCAGGGGGAATCAAGACACCTCCCCAGGCCCACCCGAGCTGCCACCCATGGGTCCTTGCCCATCATTGGATGACTCAGATGGGGAGTTGCCTTCCTCAGCCTCTTCTTCCTCCATAGAACCTGATAACAGGCAATTTCTTTGATGTTCCTCTCAATAGGGGATTCCTCCCTACAGCTCAGTGCACAGGGGCCCCTCAGGCCTCGCTCTCCTCATCTACAGAAATGGCAGCCATAATCTCAGAAGCCATAAAGCAAGACATTGCTGCTGGACTTCAGCAGCGTCCTCCTCCTGCACCATCTCACAGTCACAGGAGTAGATCCTTCTGCTTCTACCACTCAGGCTTCCATCTTTGGGGAGCAAGACAACCTCAGAGATTCAGACCTGTCTGATGACGAGGGGGGTCACTCTGGATGCCCCTGCATTTGCCGGATTATTCAAAACTGATCGCTTTAAGTCCCTCCTACTGAAAGCAATAAAAGCAGCTAACTTACCTTCTTCTTTTTCAGCTTCTACACAGACTCAGGCGGCTGAGCCGGCTACCACCAATCGCCCCAGCACTCCGTTCACCGAACCTACAGTGGAAAAGGAGATTATTCCTTCTCCTAAAATCTTCATGAATGTCATCCAAAAGCAGTGGGACTCCCCTGGCACAGGTCCACAACCGACCAACCTAGACAAACGCCTCTACAACATCGCTCCGGAACTCACCAAATTTCTCGAGACTCCTCCATTGGACGCGCTGGTTGCAGCCTTGTCTTCACCTACAGTGATCTCTGGAGCCCCTGAAGAAGTCCTCAAGCCTGAGGAGAAAAGGTCAGATCAAACCTTAGTCAAAAGTTATCAGGCTGGTGCCTGGGCAGTTAGGGCCTCCACAGCCACTTCTTTTTTCTCCAGGGCCGCTCTAGTCTGGATTGAGCAGCTCCAGAAACGTATTGCAACCACTGACACTAGGTCACACAGGGATCTAAACAAGATTAGGGCAGCCGTTGAATATGCGGCAGATGCTTCCCTCAACGCTGCCAGGTTCTCTTCTAAAGCCAATGGCTTCTTCAGTCACAGCCAGGCACCTGCTACGGCTCAAACCATGGCAAGCTGATGTCCGTACCAAGTGGCGCCTCGCAGCCTCCCCTTTCAGTGGCACTCAGCTCTTTGGAACTCCTTTGGATCCGTATCTCACAGAATCTAAGGATAAACGCAAAGTTCTTTCCTCTATAAAAAGCAGGACAGTCGACCCGCTCCTTTCTACAGGAGGTTGCCCTTTCAGTCAGCGGATGGGGGATCCGCCTTCTCCTGTCCACAATGCCAGTCCTTCACCTCCAGACAAGGATCTAATCAGGACAGATCTAACCGAAACGCCCAGTGTTTTCCCCCAAAGAAGTCTTACCGAGGGGGAGGTCACGACAAAAGTGACTATCTGGACTCTCTTCCAATCGGGGGCTGCCTAGCGTTTTTCACCCACCGCAGGGAGGAGACCACAACAGACAATTGGGTAATCAAAACGATCAAATTCGGTCTTATGCTGGAATTCCTCTCCCCCCACCCCCCACCCCCCTCGGAACACTTTGTACCATGTCCTGTATCTCAGTGCCCTCGCAAGAGGCTTCTGATGGAGCAGGCCATTCAGCAAGTGCTGGAGATTCGGGCCATCCAACCGGTTCCCCCTCAACAGAAGGATCAGGGCTTTTATTCCCGCCTCTTTGTGGTACCAAAGGCTTCTGGGGGATGCAGAGCAATCCTGGATCTAAAGTCATTGAACCGCCACATTGCTTACCGGCGGTTCACTCCCTATACACCATCCTATACACCATATTATTGTTGTATTTCTGTGTTTTTAATTATTACGTGGGGACTGCNCATGATACTTGGAACGCTGACAGGTAGTTCGAAAGATGTTGGAACAGGAGGCAGAACTCTTACTTTTGGTGCCCAATTGGCCGTGCCGACCTTGGTTTGCCGACCTAGTGACACTGTCGATCTCCCTTCCATGGCACATTCCACGGTCACTAATCTCTCTACACCAGGGGTCAGTTCTCCACCCCGACCCCCAGTGGCTACAATTAACCGCATGGCTATTGAGCGGCAAGCCTTAACAGCTGATAACATCTCTCTCAACTTCATTGCTACTATTCAGGCATCACGCAAAAGTTCAACAAACCGTATTTATGATGCCACCTGGTGAGCGTTTGCGCTCTGGTGCTCCACTCTGACTATTGACCCGCTAAGGCCGTCCATCCCTCAAGTGCTGGACTTCTTACAGAGAGGGCTAGATCAAGGTCTCACCCCTAATACGTTATGTCAACAGGTGGCCGCCTTGTCTTCTGTCCTGGACGGCCTTTCCTCAGAATATCTTTCCACACACCCATTGGTCTGGAGATTCCTTCGCGGAGCCTCAAACCTCCCGTCATCCATAGATACCCGACTTGGGATTTGCCTCGGGTCCTGGAGGCTCTCACTTCCCCTCCATTTGAACCATTGAGGTCCACATCATTGAAATTGCTGTCACTCAAGACTTTGTTTTTAGTGGCTATAACATCTGCCAGACGCATTTCTGATTTAGCTGCCCTGTCGGTGAGACATGATCTGTGCATATTCCACCCAGACCGTGTGGTCTTAAGACTTGATCCAACATTCTTACCAAAGGTCAATAGCCGTTTTCACAGGGGCCAAGAATTGACCTTGCCTGATTTCTGTCTGACTCCTCGTCATGAGAGGGAGCGCAAATGGCACACCCTTGATGTATGCCAAGCCCTTAAGATCTACATCGACTACACGGCCTCGCTCCACCATTCAGAATCTCTCTTTCTCTCTTTTCGCCAGGCCTCCTTGGGAAACAAGGCCTCACCGTCGAGTCTGGGGCGGTGGAACAGGGCCTGTATTAAGATGTCTTATGAGCTTCAGTCCTTGCAGGTCCCACAGAACATTACAGCCCATTCGACCCGAAGTGCAGCAACTATGGCAGCTTGGTCTACGCAGGCTACTTTGGAAGAAGTTTGCCGAACAGCCAAGTGGACGTCTCCCACGGTTTCATACGCCACTACAAATTAGACAAGTATGCGTCGGCTGATGCAGCTTTTGGGCACAGAGTGCTGCAACAAGTACATGTGCCTTAACACCTTTACTTTATCGTTCCCACCCTAGTGGACAGCCCATTCTTTGGTACGTCCCAGTCAGGCTGCTGTCTCCACGACCATAGGAGAATGGGCATTGGTTCTTACCTGATACGCTCATTCTATGTGAAGTGGAGACAGCAGCCAGCCCCAACCTAATGTATGTCACTCAGAACTGAACCTTTTGTGCAGAGGATAGAGTGTATGGAATTGGCAGATATTGTTTTGTTTCATCATTCTCACTTGAGTCTATAGTCTACTATGTCTAAACTTGGAGGAGTCACCAGGGCTTGATGACATCACAAGTGTAGACTCAGTCCAATTGGTTACTGGACAGAGCAACCCAGTCTGGCTGCTGTCTCCACTTCACAGAGAATGAGCGTATCAGGTAAGAACCAATGCCCATTTTTACACATTTTTGTACAATATTGTGTACCAACACTGGGATACAGCTCTTGGACTAATTTATCCATTCCTGCATGGCAGCCATGGGTTGTGCAAAACATTTTCAGTTACAGGTTTATGGGTGATGCTATACAACTTGGGGCATCACGGAAATTGAAATAAAACTCTGGGCATCTATTGGCCCTGATCCTTATGGATGCTGGGAGCTGTAGTGCTACAAATTGGGAATTGCTTTTCACTGTGTTAGGTTCTCAAAATTTGTTCAGTGGATCTGTTTTAATTTTCCCCCAATTCTTTTGCAGATTACAGCCAATCAACAACACAGAGGTAAATGACATTGGGATTAATTTTCTGTGCATGAGTAACATGTTTATTGTACTGGCCATCTCTCAGATATTTTGATATCATGCTTTCAATAGGCAATAGTTTTTTTCTATAAGAAAGATGAAGATGTTGTGGTACTGATTTGTTCAGAAATCTTGTGTCTTGATTTGCATTTAAACGTACTAATAACCATAATTCCTTACAAGTAGTATGTCTAGATTGGTTGCCCTAGGGGGCTAAATACAGAAAGTTGTTTAAATTAACAATCTTAACTATCAACTGCAATAAATTCAGTGTATATCAAATGCATTAAAATAGTGTGTATCCACATAAAAACATCTTATTTATCCTCAGGGAATATTGCTTAAAAAATCATTTATTTTAGATATTCATTAAGTTTCCCAATGCAATTTGACAACAGGATGACCCCATAATTCTCAAATTTTCAAGGGCTGTTGGAAAGTCATTAAATTGTCCAACCATAAGGAATATTAAAACTGTTTTTAAAATAGGTTTAATATATTGCTTATTTCTGAGTATTTCCAGTAAGTTTTCAGAATTACACAGCACAGTTCTCACATTTGTGAGGTTATCAGCCATCTTGAAAATAACACTTGCAACTTCTGTAATTTAAATGTAGCACACTAGACATACAGTAAAAAAGCAAAAATCTGAAAGTACATTGTGGATATAAGTTCCTTGAATGATTTTTATCTCCTCTTCTTTTCCATTAGTTATGGGGCCTACCCAACTCCACCCACACAAGGTTATTCTCAACAAACTAGCCAGCCTTATGGACAGCAGAGTTATGGTGGCTATGGGCAATCAGCAGATACTTCTGGATATGGCCAAAGTAGTTATGGCTCATCTTATGGCCAGACACAGGCCTGTGAGTACACTAATGTTGTTTTTGAACTTCATAACTACGTAGGAAAACATGAGAGATCAACTGAGCTGGGGGAGATGAGTGATTCTGGCTTGTCAGTTGTGACACACCAACATACAGGCTTGGTTTATAGAGGCAAAGATATAAAAATGATGTTGTTGCATCCCATCCC